GTAGTGATCGGGTAGATTTGGTGGGTATCACAAGTTTTCAAGGGGAACAGAGGGGGGATCACTCGTCTCTAACAGAGTTTAAACGGGGGGTTGCCGATGAGGGAGGGGGGGATGATAAATAATAACCGTTCCCTTTGTTTCAGATCTGATCTGTGTTTAAATCCTCTTAAAAAGGATTCTATCTGCCGGCATATTAAATTTGTCTTCCTTCAAAAGCACCAAACGTGCATCAGTTACAACAGTACTTCTTGGCCAAATCGCTTCGGCCAATTTTGGTCAGGGCGTCGAACAGTACTCGGTAGCTTGAAATTGCACCATCGCTTGCATGTTCTTTCCAGCACGATAGCATTTGGAAAGCCCCTTCGTAGGCATCACTCTCATGTCTAATAGCAAGTTCGTCTAGTTTCTCTCGTGGAACTCTTAAAACACGACCTAGTTTTTTCCACAGTTGAGGAATTTTTTCTGCTATGTCTGATAAATCAACATCATCAGGTTCACCATCTTTAACTGTTGAAAAAAATAATAAAACAGTAACAGTTCACTCAAACATAGTTTTAAGGTAATTGATGAGGGGGAAGGGATGCTCCTCTAGTCAACAACAGTGTGGATTCTATCGACCCTTATCTCCTTTGGGTCTTGGTAATCAAAACTACTCTTTGTCACCTGGTTTAGTTACCTTACTAATTGCGAATAGTGAAATTTTCAATCTAGTGTCGAAAGTAATCCGGGCTTGCATCGGTTTTGCTTTACTTTACCTCAGTGATTGGTCAAGAAAACTCGCGCCACTCTCTCAGCCAATCAGATGCAAAAATTAAAACCAATCACTCCTTGGTCACCCGCGCTTTCCCGCATTTTCCCGCGCTTTAGCAGTTTGATTGTTTTCAATTTTGAGTTCTCATCGGCTCTTAAAGGTTTTTTTACTTTCTTCTGATTGGCCGTTATCATTATTTCGGTTTTAGTTTTACGACAATCAATCGAGAAGCGCTTGAACAAAGAACACAATGAGTGGTTTTAGGACCACTCCCTACTTCTGATCGAATAATTGTTACGGCCCACTCACTGAGTGAAGGTCTCTCCTCTGGTAAAACTCTCGGATCCACAGTCACTGTGGGAGGAACCTGCGAAATAACAACACAGAGTCATGATAAAAAATGCTTCTTGTAACTATACATCAATTTTAAATCATTTGTTTGATGCCGAGTGGCAATTAAGGCCTAAAGACCGTAAAAAAAGATAAATAAAAGAATCAGCGTTTTGACAGAAATCCTTCATTCTCGAGATAAACAATCCAGTGTCTATGCTATCCATAAATAATTTGATATGATTTAACATGCAATGTAAGCTAGTGCACTAATATAAGTGGAAAACAAACGAGGCTACGATGCTCAGTAAGAACCTTTTTCGATTAGGTGTCGTAAAACCAAAACCAAAGAAATCTCAACGGCTTTGAGAAATCACAGTAAAACCAACCAAACTGCCCAAAGCGTGGGAAAACACGGGCGACCGCGTCATGATTTCTTTCAGTTTTGCATCTGATTGGTCGAGAGAATAGCACTAGTTTTCTGAACCAATCACAGAGCAGGGTTAAGTAAAAAAATAAAAACAGTCTCGGATTACTTTCGACACTAAATTGAGTATTGCTCTAAAGTAAACATCGGTAGCTAAGCTAATCAAGAATGTTCATATGCACTAAACAATGATGTCTATACCGCAGATGCTAGTCGAGTCTTTAAGATTGGTACTTCACAGAGAAGTTTTGGCTGCTCTTCGTCTTTAGAGAACTTCACGGTTGGAACGTTAACACTTTCGTTGTCCACGCGAACAATCAAAGCCCTATCGCTGTTGTCAGATATATCATTTCCAAGAAACCTAAAACAAAAACCAAATAAATATTCTTTGCTAGATTGCGTGCATGGGTTTAATTTTATCTCTACAAAATAATGGCCAACCCCCCCTCTTCCCGCTTATCAAAGTCCCAGTGAAGACATGCTTCTAACACTTTTCAACAGCCACTAAAATGACACTCAATTTCGTTAACGCATGTGGTTATTTTGGGTGCCAGAGCCCCTTACAAAAAAATGTAGATATTGTTGTAAATATATTTTATGGCCTTGGGGCAAATAAAGTTTTGTTATTGTTTCTGTGTGAGTTAAAAAAAAAAACAAACAAATAAACAAATGAATACATTTATCTTACGAGTGCTATATACATTAATTCAAGTTTAAATATATACATAACTCACCAACAACGATCGGAGATGTCCGTCATAGATAGAAGCGATTGATTAAAACGCTCAAAACCTGCGAGGTTCGTTGTTGTCCTTTTAACCCGTTAACTCCCTGAAGTGATTTAAATGTAACCTTTCCCTATAGTAACGATACATTGTCCACCAAACAGGTAATGAGAGTAGTCAGACTTATCAAATTAAAATTGTAGTCTTGATCTAACACCGAATTCTCTTAACTTATTTATATGCAAATCTGCAGCAGCTAGAGGGGAGAGTTCAAAATCGCATCGTGAGTTAGAGTTAAGAGGTAAGTTGGCTAGAAAAGCATCTCGGCTTTACCAAACTTTACCATTTAAAAACTCTTCAGAGTTAATGATTAACTTACCTGAGAACTACCTTTTCATTCGTTTGAGATTCCCGCACAAAATCAAGCGCTAATGGAGAAACCACAATTTCATCTCCAACACAAGCAGGCTCCTTTGACTTTCCTTCACCTTTGTAAGGCGCATCATAACTTGAAAATTTCTTTTCCACCTCAGCCTTTTTGAAATTTGGGTAACAATACAGCAAAAGGCCGTAAGTATCAGGAACTGTTGTCTTACATAGACAAGTGAGAAAATGTACACATTGTGGCATGGGTCTGAAGAAAAGACGACGAAAAAAATCCTCCAGAAGAGCTACGGGTTTATTGAACACACAGACTGGACAGAATCTGCAAAAAAAAAAAAAAATTAAATCATAAATAGACTGCAACATCCCAATCAAAAATTATCCCTGGTGTTTTAAGAAGTGGGCGGCCGTTTTTCTAGCAGACACGTCGATATCACGAGAGGCTGCTCCCGGGCTAAATGGATGGAGGTAAGAGTTTTCTTTGGCGGCGGTAGACTGCAGTTAACTGTATTAACCCTTTAACATCAGTATGCATATTCTCCATACTGTTCTCTATACATTTCCTGAGGCGCTGACAGGAGAATTGGTTTAACAATGAAGAGATATTCAGTTAGTGATCATTTCCTTTATTCTCCTGACCTTACTGTGTGATTCAGGGGTGATATTGTAAGGAGAAATTAGATGCTAGTCACTCTTAGAGGTTAAAGGGTTAATAGTCCTCATTCAAGAGGACTAGTTGAACTAATCATTTCCCTGTGACATCAAAAGGCAGCACAAGCGCCTCAGTTTTTCTCAAGACGCTTCATGCTAGTCCGTTGCTCGGCTAGAACCCATTACCTCCTGCGCGGCAGTGCGGGTCACTACCAACTGACCCTGTTAGTAGAGAGATTTAACACCGCGTTTACGTGTAACGTGAACGGCAAGAGTGACCACGTGACCTTGTTTTTCCCGCCATTTTTTCACGTTTAACTTTGTTGATATATTCAAATTATTTCGTTACCCCCACAGACGCAGCCCCAAACAGTTTCTTTAGAAACTATCAGCCTTTATTTCCTCTCTGACTGAACTTAAGTTTAACATAACTCACCGACAGAAATGCTTCACCTTGAATTCTACATTTCCATCTTTAACAGTAACTTGCCCTTCTAGTTGACTTGTTATATCTGTCCAGCTAGCGTTCCCTGGTTTTCTCTCTGAGTCAAGGTGTGATATCCTTACGACCTCAGTTGAAAGCTCTGAAAAGTCATGCTTACTTTCACGAAGGGTGAGGGGAGCCTTGATAGTCACAGGCTCCGTGTGTACAATGTTCTGAGAGCTTGAAATGTGAATGACAGGACCACACAATATCCCAATATCTTCAACCTCACTGCTTGGAAATTCTTGTACCTTGGTGAAAAATCACAATACGTGTTGACTTTGTGTGAACTACATGTATAGAGGTTTTGCACAGCAGCCATGTTGGATGGCAGGAACAATGAAAATAGTTTGTATAAGAAAGAAAAATTTTTCCCATAGATAAAATAATCTATTGTTCCTGCCATCAAACATGGCTGCTATGCAAAACCTCTATATACACGATGTTCTTTATTAGATAAGGACAGATGATAAATTTTCGGAGCATCCTTGGATGAAGATAGATCATTCTTTTTGAAAGTTAACTGAATGTATAAAGTTTAAAAATGTTATCACGTTTTCATAAATGTTACCACGTTCGTATCAATCACGACTAAAGGTTGGGACGTGTCAATAACCTCCGCCAATGTAATCTATTGCATAACTTGCCCTTATTGCAAAAAGATATACAT